ACTCAAAAAATTATTTTTCATCAAACCATACGTGTGGAGCTTATCTATGGATAGGTCTTCAAAAATAATATTGAGGTTTCTAATATATTTTTTTTTCCATACTGAATAGTTTGCGCGAGGGACACTTCCAAAGTGGTAAAATGTGTGACTATGTAAATTCTAAAATAAGAGACTGATAAAACTAAAAAAATATATTATGTTCATCACTATGCAAACTTCCACCGAAATTGGTTTGAACGAGATCTAGTAAGTAGTTTTTTTTAATATGTCATAAATCACAAACCAATTAAAAACTACACTACTATTAAAACATCGATCAAAGTTACAACGAACTACAAGAACTATTATACTGGTGTCAATTCTGGCGTGATTCTCTAAACTTAAAACTAAATTTAAGGTCAGTCTCACCTTTTCATTCTGTATAGAGAAGGACAAGGATGCACTGTTGTCAAATTTAAGTTTAGCTTTAGAGAATCATGCCAGAATCGACATCATTATGTTACTTGCTGAGTCCACTCGCACTTGGCCGCTTTTTAAATCAAATCATTTACAGTAAATAGGTCGATGGTCCCGAGCGGCTATATCTTATCTCGCTCAGAATTTCGAGTAGAATCGTAATTAAAAGTGTCCCATATGGACTAGCGTAACTCTCGCGCCCGGCGCGAAGTATCGTAACTCGGCAGGCCCTGTTTATTCTAACGCATCTCCGTACGCGCGTGAGATCTATTGTATCTCTCGCAGCCTTAGGACGGAGTATCGTAACTCACCGACTGCAAAATGCTTTGTCGTATCTCAGATGCACTAAAATGGTTTATCGCAAGTCCAGATTTGATGATTTTTCAAAAGCATTGCCCCTACGTTTGTTGGGGCCGAAATAATGCCCAGAAATTTTTTTAAATTACTGCGATGATTTTTTTCGCTATAAATAATTCAAGTAAAACAATGAACAAAAACAGTCGTCGAGAATCTGGACAAGTTACAGTAAGTTATGTAACAAAAACAGTTGCAAGTATTTTATAATTATGTCGTTAATGAAAATGATCCAGTAATTCATTGATTCAAACAGAAAATTAATTATTCATTAATTATAGAAAAATAATTATCATAAAGATATTATCAACACATTTTGAGCTTGGGGGACACAAGAACTGCTGTATTGCGGTTACAACTATACCCAACTACATACATAATATCAGCGCTACTCTCCCCTCCAAGCTCATGCTTGGAGCGAAAATTTGGAAATTTTATTTTTGCATTCCACAAAATCGTCGACCGAACAAAGAGTCGCGAGATCGCGAGCGTGTCGGTTACCGAACGAAGCGCGTTCAGAGGTGTTTAGTTTGTCTTCTTTGCTGTAGCGAAAACAAAGCACGTTACATTGTCTAGTTTCGTTCGTTTCTCATTTTGAAAATGAGTGATCCAGTGGGCGATTACCATCTACAGGAAGATAATGTTGAAGACATCACAGGTAAATTTCACAATTCTAATTTCTCAATTTCAGTTCTGAAATTTCATGATCTTCACATTAGGATTATTGAAAAATTGTCTTTTTTCCGATTTAGAGCGCGAATTCAACATTGCAACAGAAATCCGATACGAGCCACCATTCAATGAAATCGTTGAGGAATTTTCGTCAGGTATGCATGATAACTTGATGTGCATATGCGTCTAAAATTGAAGATCGAAAAAATCTTTCCACTCGAGTGCAATACGTAACTTTTCATCCCACCTCAGCGAGGAAATGACAAAATGAAAAAGAAAACAATTTATAATGACAAAATATTTAAGCAATAAAACGTGAAAAACTAGAATGGCGCGAAGCACGCAAATAAAACAAAGAAACCAAGAAGGTTCCAAATTTAAATTTTTTCACAATTTAAAAAGTTCTAATCATAAATTTGGCACCATAGAGGTTACATTAAATAGGTTTAATGACGTTTTGAATTTACAATTATATTGAGTACTCATTATATGTGATGTTCTAAATTCAAATCTACTTTGCCGCTCAAGCGAATAAAATAGAATTTTCCAGCCAGATTTCGAAGCGCAAAATTACACTTTCCGAGGTGGTGGGATGAAAAATATTTTTTCTTACGTAAAAAAGCTTCTGAATGTGATGGAAACATTTTTGAGATTGTACGTGGAGGGAGAAAGTAAGTTTAGTCTACACTGAAAAAAATATTTGTTGGATAAGATCGATATTTTGTTGAATACGTCCGATTGACCGTTTTTATGAAAAATCACAAAAAGTTTTGTCATCGCAGCGAGAAATATTCTAGAAAGTCGCTTCCCAAAGTAAATTGTTGTCATTCCAATCTTAAATTTTCCCGGCATTTTTGTTAGAAATGAAAAATAATTCAAAAATACGAAAATTTTGAAATTATCAAAAAATATTTAGTTTCCCGTATTCAAGGAAATATCGACGTTTTTTGACAAAATTTCATTTTTTGTGTAGACTAGAGCAAAAAAATGTTAATAAATAAAGATACTTCTTCTAGTTGAAACCGTCACCGCATATTCAAAATATAACGTAATTAATTTTCTAGATGGATTAGTCGTAAGAGCCGTCCTCATGCCTGTTCCGCTCGTGCCTGTTGCGTCAACTTCCGCGACATCTGCTTTTGGAGAGGAGCCTCCAATTTTTGAATCAACACCTCCAGAGAATGATGATCCTTCCACCGCTGCCCTGCAGCCTGACCAACAAACTGATCCACAGCTCGAACGAGATGATCAGCAACATGAGCAAGAAGGAATGGCCGAAGATGACCGCGCTACTGCACGAACGTCACGCAAGCGTACGCGTAATGTCAGTAATTGGGCGAAGAATGTCGCGAAACGCGCGAGGCAAGCTGGCGAGGCTTATGTCAGTGTATATAAAGACAAAAGTCAAGAGGGTAAACTGATTGCATCTCGTAGCATAAGACCTGGTTGCCATGAAAAATGTCGCAATAAGTGCAGGACCTATGTGTCAGAGGAGGACCGCATTTTGCTGTTTAAAGAGTTTTGGGCTATAGAGACTCATAAAGAAAAGTGGGAATATCTTGCGAGGCGCGTTGATACTTGCCCCGTTAAGGACAGAAAGACCCACTGGGAATCGCGACGTAACGAATCGCGATCGTACAGTTTTCGCAGTAATGGTCGCGTGGTCAAAGTGTGCAAAGTCATGTTTTTGGACACGCTTGACATTAATGAGCAATGGGTCAAAACGGCTAGCAATCGTGATTATTTGGATGAGAATCTATCCCTTCCTAAAATGTATACATTTTACGAAGCCTGGATGAAAAAAAATCGACCCGCTGGGGAACATAAGTTCACTTTTGCTACTTACCGGCAGTATAAAGACATTTTTGATAGAGAGTTTAATTTGCACTTCTTCAAACCGAAGAAGGATCAGTGCGATGTGTGCTACGCTTGGAAACATGCAACACCCGATGAAAGGCTCGAATTGCAAGCATCTTACGATACGCACATAGGGTTAAAAAATCTCGCCCAAAAAATGAAGAACGAAAATAAAAAGACTTGCAACAAAGACTCTTCATCGTGTGTTGCATGCTTTGACATGCAAAAAGTTTTGCCATCTCCGCGTGCAGAATCTTCTGCATTTTATTACAAGCGACATCTTTCAGTGTACAATTTTACTGTGTACGATTGCACAAGACACGACGGTTTCTGCTACATGTGGAATGAAACGATTGGTTCCAAAGGCAGTAATGAAATCGCCAGTTTTCTTCTCGATTTCATTGAGAAAAAAGTTGAGACAGGAGTGAAGAAATTTTTCTTCTACTCAGACAACTGCGCTGGTCAAAACAAGAACCAATTTGTTTTTTCCATGATGTATCTTGCAGCCGTGCGTCACAACATCGAAATCACATACAGATTCCTGGAGACTGGACACACTCAAAACGAAGGGGACTCAATGCACGCCTTGATCGAAAAAAGGAGTAAAAATGTGACCATCCATAGCCCTGAAGATAGGATTTCCATTGTGAAAACAGCAAAGAAAGCGGGTTCAAAACAGTACGATGTAACTGAAGTTATTCAAGAAAACATTTATAATTTTAAAGAATTCGCGAAACATTTGCAATGGGAAAAAGATATGGATGGAAATAAAGTAGGATTGTCCAAAATCCGGGAATTGTACGTAAATTCAAATCTTGATCCTGTCGTTGAGTTCAAGCATCATTTCAGCGAAGAATCGAAACGATTAGATGTAACATCGGGTACAGGAGGACGTTCCATCAATTTGAGTTCGTACACTCTTAAAAAAGCGTACCGCGGTTTGCTACCGATCGACAAAGCGAAATTGGCCGATTTGAAAGCGCTTTGCGCCAGAAATCTTATTCCCTCTGAGAAACATGCATTTTATAATGCATTACGCGTAAAAAATTCCTCGGAATTCTAAAAGTGTCGATCGACACAGCAAAATTGATCGGTTTGAAATCGCTTTATTGTGCCAAAAATAGTCCCCTCTGAGAAACGCATTTTTTCGTAACATGTCAACAATTTCTGGGAGTACTAAATGTATAATTTCTTTAGTTGAATAAATATAATAAAATCGATTGCGTGCGAAATTTTATTTTTCAGAACGTGAAACTTTCAAATCGCGATTACTGAGAACATGCACTTGGTCGATACGATAAAACGTTTTCGCATATCTGAGATACGACGGAGCGTTTTCCAGTCGGTGAGTTACGATACTCCGTCCTAAAGCTGCGAGAGATACAATGGATCTGACGCGCGCACGGAGATGCGTTAAAATAAACACGGCCTGCTGAAATACGATACTTCGCGCCGGGCGCGAGAGTTACGCTAGTCCATATAGGACACGTTCAATTACGATTCTACTCCAAATTCTGAGCGAGATAAGATATAGCCGCTCGGGACCATCGAGGTATTCCTTTGTTTACACTACCTACTCGTTCAACTTTTATAAGCCGACCAAAAGATATAATTCATTGAAAAGTATTAATTTTATATAAAAACTAAAGCACTTTACTAACCTTTGCACGACACCGACATTCCAATACAGAATGATGTCACAGCTTGTTTACATTAAAATAACGCGCTGCGCCCATAGACGACATTATATAATATACTAGTAATAGAGATATCAGTTAACCTGAGCAAACAGCGCCATCTAGCGATTCATGACATAATCACAAGTCATGTACCGGCATTAAGCTGCCGGCGTTATTTTAATGTGATTATTAATATGAAAAAAGGAAAAAACCATACTGTGTTAAAGCTACATTATTAGATAATTTATCTACTATTCGTTTACACATATTTTTTTGATAATTGTCTAAAAATTTAGCTTTAACACAGTTGGTTAGAATAAATAAAAAACATTTATAAATCAATTATTTTTATTTATTTTTTATAAATATTAGCATGCAATTCTTTTAATATCATCTTTAAAAAAAATGTATAGTTACGCAACTATATAACGGCACCCGTTTAATAATTTATTTACGTCACGACACCAGTTATATATAAAAAATCTACAAGTTGGATCTATCATTTTCATTCAGTCTCTCTTTCTCGTAGAGAGTATACAGGGCGTCCCACGGCAACCTCACACGGAGGGAAAGTATATTAAATATTGAAGATAGGACATTTACCAGAAAGAAGACATCATTTTATTTTTAAAAATAACTAAAACTGCATTCACAGATTTTTATAAAAAAAATCGGATACGCCTCAAAGTAGGTAAGTCAAAATGTTGAGTTCATCATCGTTGATGTTATCATCCGCTGCTGTGGTTTCTGTAAGCGCATATCAAAACGTCCTAAATTTCTTTAAGTATCCACTAACCTTTTAAACACATATCGAGAAGGTACGTCTCTATCAGAATATCTTTCGCGGTATCACCGCAAAGCTAATATCTCTTTGTGGTTCATAAAGTAAGCTTCAATTAAATCCATTTTATTTTGATACGCCATGGTAAGTAAATTAACAAAAAATTGCTAATAAACGAAAATGAAACTGACAAAAAAACTAAAGAAATGACGCTTGAAAATGTATGTGTTCCATTTTCGAATTATTATTTTTATTAATTTCAGCCAATCGCATTGTAACTGTGAGTTCATAAAGAAATGCATACGTACTACAGTTTGTATTTCACTTTATTATTTTTATCACGTAATAAGACATTCCTTTCATTTAGAATTCTATGTTATTTAGCAAAAAATAATCCTTACGATTAACCCTTTCGATGGTTATCATAATATATGTTTTTTTTTAGAAATTTCACGAGTTTGATTCCCAGTTGTAGCAGACGATTTAAAAAACAAACTGTGAATGCAGTTCTAGTTATTATTAAAAATAAAATGATGTCTTCTTTCAGTAAAATATCCTATCTTCAATATTTAATATACTTTCCCTCCGTGTGAGGTAGCCGTGGGACGCCCTGTATTGTTCTGTGTTTTCATTGCTTTCTTTAGCCGTGTTGTATATTTGAAATTCTTTTCATTTACCTTCTTCAACACTTTTTTTTAAGTTAGTTACACTTTGATCCATTGCTGATGCTGAAAAAAATTTATTATTACAACATCAGAAATATGTTTTAATAAAGACTAGTGGCCCGCCCTCGCTTCGCTTCGGTGTAGAGCTGAAGTGTAGACTATAGTTATTGTTCTCAGGCCTGTATTATACACAATGACATTCTTCTTATACCTACCGCGCCGCCGCGACCCGTGTCGAGCGCGGCAACCGTTACACAAAAATAATCCTTATAGCATGATTCAGTATTCACGTGCGACGGCGCGATGGCTTATTTCATGTATAAGTTTGGTGTTTCTATACCGATTTCTATGATTCTTTTTTTATTGTATAGGTAATAATGTTAACTTTTTTAAATTAGGGATGAGTGAGAGTATTATAAACGTAAGAGTAAACAAATATAATCAGAATGCTCCGAACTGCTAAGCTATCAGGAGTTACACGTGTTATTGTGAGTCAACTATAAAAGATAGACATACTGTTGCGGGATATTTTTTAGAAAATTTTATGTAGAATATTTCCGTCATACATAATGTCTATGTAACTTTAACCATTGAGGCTGCGCACGCGACGTAAGCTTAAAAAATGGAGTAACTTCTCCCGTTTTCCCAACATTTCCCTTAATTACTCTGCTCCTATTGATTGTAGCGTGATGAAAAGTATACTATAACCTGCCCAGGAGTATGAAGAATAATTGTACCAAGTTTCGTTAAAATCCGTCGAGTAGTTTTTGTTTCTATAAGGAACATACAGACAGACAGACAAAAATTTTACTGAATGCATTTTTGGCATCAGTATTGATCACTAATCACCCCCTGATAGTTATTTTGAAAATATATTTCATGTACAGAATTGACCCCTCTACAGATTTATTATAAGTATAGATTTAAGAAGCATTTCAATAAAATTAGTATCATTGTGAGGTGAAATGATTTAATTTTTTTTAACTCTTCATTATTAGTATAAGAAAATTAATTGAAAGGTTCATTTCATTATGTAATGTCACTTATTAACTAAAACATGACTAAAGCCCATAGAGGTAAGTTAAGGAAAAAAGCTAACAAAAGATGAAAGAAAAAAGATGATTAGGATAGATGCTCTCTTAAATATAGATAACATATTTCTGATATAAGTTTTCTTTTTAAAGTTAAGTTAATAAAGTAATCAACTAATTATAATAGATAAAAATACTTAAATAAAAATAAAAATTACGGGTAAGCTTATTTTACTCAGTATCTTCGATTTATTTACAGCTTTTTGTTGTAAATCAACGACCTTTTCAGTCAAAACACCACCTGCAAAACATTTTTATATTAAATCAAAAGAGAATAAAGAAATGTTTTTACTAATTTGTATATCTGAAATTTGTCAATTTTTTCATAATTAAAAGAATTGTATGTGCTAATCTAGGTTAAAATATACCAACAATATATTACTTAAATTTGGAATATGCTGTTTATACAACTTAAATTAGTTTTTTTCCAAAACTCAATGTATTATAGGCTGCCATTTTAGAGAGAAAGAGTAAGAATAACATACATCTATAGAAACTTCCACATTTATAATATTAGTAGAAAGTAGTATAATTTTTTTACAGAAAACTTAAAAAAAAATATTTAATGGAAAATATACTTACACCACCGTCCTGTCGTTAATATTGAACCCGCTAGACGATAAAGTGAGGTCCACATTCGATTCCCCGTTAGGCTCACTGAAAGTGTTTGACTGGTCAGGTTCACTGTGTATACGGAGGTTCCGGCTTAAGATGAAGCCATCCATGTGGTTCCTTCTGTATTCAGTGTCACGGCCGCGTCCTGTATATTGCCTCTCTTCACAGAACCACATCGGGGAGTGCGTGTTACTATCCACACAGATGAGGACTGGTTTGCCGGCCAGATGGTCTAAGACACCTTCCAGATTAAGAATATGACGGCTAATATCTTGGTTGCACTGAAAATAAGCCGAACTCATGTCGACACTCATATCGCCCAGCCCAACGTGAATTACATGATCATTACTTAGATGGTGGAGCACGGTACACACAAGGTTTTTATTGGAAATTAGAGATTATAGTAGTATTCTTTTAAAAAAATATTCAATGTACAGATTTGACTTTCCTACCATTTTATGGAATTGGCACTACACTGCAATAGTCTTGACACCTCCTGGTATTGCTCTTGTACCAGGATCACATCCAGTTGGTGATCACGTGCTATGGAAGTGATTTCCTTTGACGCTGCTTCTGATCCCTGTAGGTTTGGCTGTCCTACGCGAGAAGTGCTGTTAGCCTCACTAATTCACTAAACATAGTGCAACATGTTCCCCACTTGCTGTTCTGCGTACTTACGTTCGGGGCACGAGGCGAAGGCCATGAAATGGGCGTCTGGCGAGAAAGATGGACAGTTAGATTCCACTATTTTATGTGGATAGAGTGACAAATATGGTAAGCTAGGAAGTACAATTCGATCCGTGACCGAGAGCAATTGCGCCGGTAGTGCTCTCGGTTACCCAGCGAGAGTTTTGAGCACGAGATTTACTACTCATCTTACACACGAGCTCGGGTATTCTAGTTAAAAAGATGGAAAAATCTCACCAATTTCTCATGATCTGAGGAACCTTGCTAAGGTTGGAGATACCCGCGGAATGGAGAGAAAAATGGATAGTTAGATTCAGCTGTTTTATGTGGAAAGTGTACTTTTGGTAAGCTATCTTACACACGATTTCAGATATCCTAAATAGAAAGATGGACAAATCCCACCAACCAGCCATGATTTGACGAACCTTCCTAGTTATGAGGGGGCAGCGGTAGATACGCGCGGAATATAGAGGGAGAAGGACCGGTAATACCGCATAATGTCTCTGCTTAGCCCGATGGTTGACTGGTAGAGAATGCCATGTGGTATTAAGTCCGCCATTTGTTACAAAACAATAAAGAGTAAATAAATAAATAAGGACAGTTAGATTCAGCTGTATTATGTGGAAAGAGTGTCTCGGGCGGGCCGACAAACAACGACAAGTGCAGAGCGGCGCCGATGCGTGCCAAAACTATGTAGGCATGTATTGGCGGAGTGTTTTGGTTGTTTTTAGTGAATTATACTAATACTATTTTTGTGTACCGTCCTTGATTATTTGCTTTTGTGCAGTGTGTATATTTATAAGGAAAGAGTGTAAGTACTTACTGTGTAAATTAAAACCATAAGTTAACCATAAGTATCATGGATTCGTCCAGTTCCTCTACGGACAAAAATCCGTGGCCACATTTAAGTGGCAATAATAGGTTTCAAGGGCGTCGACAGCTTATGACGAGAGTAGATACTTTTTGAGTGCGTAAAATGTTTAGGGATCAAATTCCAATCTTTATTATGATGAGATAAGATTGTCATGATGACTTTGACTTGTTATATTTTTAGGGCTGTTTGTAATAAACTGTTTATTAAAAGAAATTGTCAAGTCACGGTACAAACTTCGAACCAGTGCGAAGTCCACTGTTTAAAGTACAAACAAGGATTCGTGAATGGTTACGATGTGACATTATCATGGAATTTATTACTGAATGATAAGAATGAAATTCGCAGTACTTGTGTAA